TCTCTTTTTTTTGGCCACCCCTGTATTATTAGGTGTTTCAGAAAGTTCTGTCGTTTTCCAGCCCCTAATTTTAAATGCACGTATCTCGGCTTGGGCTAAACCTTTCGAGTTGATTAAAAAACCATTTGAAAGCGCGAATCTTGTTCTATAAGAAACCGTTCAACAGGGTACGTTTATTTGGAATGCTGGACCTCTGGAGGCGATGAACTGAGGGAAGGTCGTTTTAGCATCATGTTGGTTTTTGATGTATTTCTCTTCAAGGAAGCTATCGAGATCGTCAGAAGTTTGACAGTAGATAGTTCAAGGGTCTACTAAGTAAGATGTTCGCAGAACCACTCTGAAGTTCAGCTGGTACAACTTGTGAAAGGGTTGGCCGTGCGATGTGCGTTCAAGACACCTTTCAGGGATGTAACTCCTTTATAATGAGGAATGCTGGACCCATGTCCTAGAGTTTTTGATGATTTTTGAATTAGTATAAAGATTGATTCTCCACTGTAACAGTTCCATCTGATACTGAAGAACATGGCCAGCCGCTGGCCCCATGAAAGCTGCCACAACCCTCCTCCAGCACAGTTTAAATTCTGCAAAGTTTGTAGAGCTTCATCGCCGTCGATCTATTCAGCAAACTTTCGTAGACTATAGAGAAGAATCCGCTCTTTATTGTACGTCGCAAATCTGTAGAGAAACGAGTCGCTTTCACCACATAAAACCAGCGACAATTTGATGGACGATGCTTCAAATTGGTGATTTGTCGCGGCACGCCACTATCGAATTTTTTAGACTTTCCAGCTTCTTCCGTATAGCTTGGCTGTACAAACCATATACGCCCACGTTGGGCAGAACCTCCTCTATGGTCTTACGCACAAGTGCTTCAATCAGAACTTTTGGCTAATCGGAGACACCGTCCGATGTCCGACCACTACTCTCATCATATTCAAGGCTCTCGCCTTCCTTACAATAAATTTTTTAACTACTGCTTCTGAGCACATTTATTGCAAATCTAGGCCCAAAGCATCGTTGATATCTTGAACTGATCCCGCCACTTTCAGGTCTATTTAAAGCTAGAAAAAGAAAGTCATGCCAGCTTGCTCCTCGAGTATACTGAATTCAAAGCTTTGAAAAAGCTATAAGAAAATATTTTAGGATAAAGAAATATTTTAGGATAAAGTTGTGCTGAGCATTGGATAGAGCTGGAAAAGTTCTTCAAAATGACATCAACATCAATTGCAGCTTTCCTAGATTTCAAGGGAAATAAAGCATCCAAAAGTGGAATGTCAGAAAACGACAGAACTTTCTGAAACACCTAATAATTTCCCACACAGATCGTAATAACTTCGCTCTGGGAAAAGTTCCACATTTTGGCACACAAACTGTTGGGAGTGTTTGTTTCCAAGTTACGATAAATTCAAGCAGTGTGTGTATGAAAACTGAGACGCGTTCTACTGATACGGTTCATGAACTTTGGTGAAAGTCAGTCCGTACCCTCGTTAAGACACAAAAAAAAAAGAGAAACGATAATAAAAAAACTAAATATTTCGAGGGATTTGTATACAAAAGGGCGCCTTTCACAGCAATCGAAACGTCAAGTAGTTGAAATGACGCAGAACTTATATACTGCAACATTTGCGTAAATTCCGCTTGACTGTCCAGGCTGATATAATAGGAACTGAATTAAGGTAGACTTTGGAAGGTATATTTTTAGATAATCTTTTTCAAACGCACCTGAATGAGCTGTTGTTTTCTGAGTGTCAAAGGAATTGTCACTTGAAGTTCTCTCCAGAGTTCATTACGAGCACGCAGTGCTAATGTTCACTTTCCTCTCACTGAACGGGAGACGACAGTGTTCACAGTGACAACCTGCAATATTGATGTGAGGAGGGCCAACCTTCAGAAATATTTTGTTGTAATGTGAAATGCCATTAAAATTCCCACTTGCACAGCTCAGCAGATTAAATTCTGGCGCACTTGTATACCTATTTGGAAAAGAACATTCAATGGTGTAAAACCGAAAACATCTCTTCTCGAAACCATTTATTGTCAGCACTTCTTCTGACCACTTTTCTCTCTATATTTTAGGAGGTTTTGTTCTTGAGTTGTGAATGGGTGATGTGCATATTCTAGAAGGATGACACACCAACTGCGTGTGATAAGACCTGTGCAACTCCTATAGCAGACGCATATTCCAGCGTCAGTACCATATCCAAGCGCTAGAATCCTAAAGCCCAATGTGCTAAATTACGCTTGAATATACAGCGGTCCAGGGCTGTTATAACTTTTCTTCTACCATGGTCTTCTTAGAAAGTTTTTACTCATATGTTAGTATTAACATTTGCCCAACGGCAAGTGTGTAAATGGAACCTGCGTCGCTCTAGCAGGCGGCAAAAACAAAGAGGTTGTAAGCGATTCATCAGCATTTTATGCGCAATTTGGTGCGTAGCTCGCCAATTCTTCAGTCTTCAAGGTTGGCACCTTTTAGAATTTGCTACATGCTGTACTGATTTTTTGCTTCCTATCCAACAAGCATTGCTTCGAGTAGGTTTAATAAGCGTGCCCAAGACGGCGGAAATTCCCAAGGTATCCGCGAAGCAGCCGTTTCCTAGCACATGGATTTCCCAACGCTACCAGGTAAGCATTCTGTAAGTAATGTCCAAAGGAAGGAAGGAAGGAAAAAGGGAAAAACCCCGCTCTGCACGCTGGGCAAGAGGAAGCGTACCATCGCATTTTAATAAGTCGACCATCACCTCAGTCAGTTGAGCGCGTGCTGCGCAACAGCAGACTCGCGACGCATGGCGTGAACATTAAGTGCCAACTTTCGTGGGGAGACCGCCTCAAATGCAAGCTTGCTTAAACAAACCGAAAAATGTAACGGCCAACGAGCCGCGATAATGTGGAGTCTGACCAGCGGCAGTGTACTCTAGACTACGGTGGACCGATTCAATCTTCGCTGGAGTTCGAAAAACTAAAGCTCATTCAGTGTGTGGTGCCGCCAGTCACGTGTGGCACCAGTTCTACAACTCAAAGATAGCGAACTGTCGCGATACCTGTGATCGTGGCCGGCGAAGAAAGGTCTCGGAAACTGCAAAGATCCGACTTTAGAGTAGAGACTTTACTTTGCGAGTTTCCTCGAGATTGAATCGAAACACAAACCCATGCATCGACGGAACGGCATCTCCAAATTCATCGGGCCTCCAGACAAATGGTAGGTCTTCACAAAGAACTTATAGAGTTTATTACCCTCTTGCAGAATAGCGGATAGGGAGGGGTGACATGATACGAATTGCATTTTGACATTGTGGGATAGGAGCACTTTTTTACATTTTATACTGAAACTGGTGTGTCGTGAGCAGTGATATGTACGATTCTGATAGAGAACTAAAGAGAAAATTTTATTGTAGACTCAATATAGTACTATATAACAATGTATCTCCGAGAAGCTAATTTTGAGAAAAGCAGTCACATCCTCGTGTTTTGCTACCCTTGCGGTCAATTAGACGGCGCTTACCGATCTCGCTATGGTCTCAACATTCAAAAGTTGCTCTAGCGTTTTATCGGAAACAATGTCAAGCTGGGCTGGGCTTGAAAATCACAATTTGAATGGGCCATAGCATAGTAGCCCATTTGACAATGTTATAGCAGTTAGATCGTCGAGTAGTATCATATTCGCTGTGTTAGCGCAAACTTTTTCTTGAGATCTCGTGAGCGCGATCGACTCACATTTTTACTAATATTCACGGCATAAGCAGAGCCAGTCCGCACACTCGGATGGATCCACGGCTTTAGAAAAATATGATAGAAAAAGTTCTTAATTTTAGCAGGGCGATTAATGGACTTGCTGCTGTCGGAAGCAGGGCGCAGTATAGCATAGGTTTGGAGTGCACTTTCCCGGAGCTGGGCTCCGTGATAAATGGTGTACAGTTAACACGGAAAAGAGCCACCATTCGTTCGATTGATTTTCATATCCACCTTTCCAATAAGATTCGAAAGGAAATAAAAGAGAATTGATAGGCGAATCGTCGATGTCGTTGTTCAATTGATCTCGCAGGGGATTTCGCATAGACATGTTTGCATACACATGAGGCTCTTTGAGAGTATGCATTGTACCACAATAGCTGCTTTTCATACCATGAGATTTGCAATAGATCCGAAAAGGTTTCGGACTTTTCGGCAGGTATAAAAACAACGCGCTCAAACGTCTTAATCGTGTTTTTACCACCGCGATCCAGTTTTGGCCAGCGCTTTTTTTTCCCTATATTGTACAATTACCTCGTCGGTTCAGCTCCTACGTATCAGTAGACTTCTCAAACTGGATGAGTCGTTTCCATCGAATAAGGTCTAAAATTGACTCCTAAAACTATTGAAGACAGAATAATTGAATGAGGAAGAATAAAAATCTTCCCCTACCAGTTATTTGTCCTGGCACTGTTCGCTTGCTTAGCAATGCGTATCTTTTCTCCTCTATCATGGATACGCATGGATACAAAACTCGAAGCAATGACCTTTCGCTGCCATGTTTTCTGCTCTGGGACGGTAATAAACTGCTTCGGAGAACGAGTCAGTGAGTGGCCTCTATGTCATAGGTAAACCATGGGATCCACATCACGCGTGCCTAGCCACTCGCTTCATCGGCATCTCCTTCGCAACTCTCCAGTGCTAAGTGGTGTACTGGCAGCAGTGCGATATACTAAGCAGTCACATTAAGGGATCGGATCCGAGTACGGCGTAGACATGGCTGGCAATATGCGAATGTTCGCCTCTTCGGCTACGATCACGTCACAATTTCCTGCTTTCCTCCATCAATGGCCTTTGATGGCCACCTTTGTGATTGGATCCATCACCACGTTATTACCGCTCTTGCTTTTGAGGGGGAGGGCAAAATAATAGCCAAAGTTATTACAAAGATATCACTCACATTATGGAGCTTGTTTTTTGTTAAACATTAGTTATGAACACGATGCCGAATTATGGTTAATTTTCTTTTGTTGCGCGTATGTTCAGTCCTTGAAGTCCTTGAAATTACCTCGAAGTGAATTGCTTACGTCAAAAAAGTTGCTTTGCTGCCCATTATCGAGCGACACTGAATTCTGGTATGATAGAGGGATTTGATTGGTGGCCAATCGATTTTACATAACCATGAAAATGTAGGTGTCAAACAGTGAGGTGGAATGTTTTAGGTTGTACAGAAAGTAGTAGTTCTTCACTTCCGTCTTCATAGCATTATATTCCAGCTCAGAGTCACCGATTTTAGTCATTCAAAAAACTATTGGGAATTTCGCGTCTTGTTTGCGAACTCAAAATATCGAACCGTGGTTGAGCAAAAATCGTGGGCATTTCTCACCTTAGCCTCGGTTTTTGAACCTTTTTCTTCCCGAAAAGGTGTCAAGATGGCTGAAGAAGTGGAACTTGATGAGAGAGATCCTGTTAGTGAAATACTTGAAGCAAGGCTGGATAGGTCGATCCGTTCCATTCCTTGCGAGGTCTTTTGTGTGCATGTCGCTGGTCGACAACATGAAGAACGATTCTCCTTCGCTAGGACACAGATCTTACTGTTGCCGGCACCACGTCGGTGTGATAGATAGTCATTGGTGCAGCATCCAGTCACCTGATTCCAAAAGTTGTGATGCATCATTATTGGACCGACCGCAAAACCATCAGCGTAGTTATTTGTGTTAGTTTTTGTGCCTTTCGAGGTTGATCGGTGGAACATTTATTAAAGCGGCCTAACGTTTCGACAAAATCGTCGTCTTCTGAGGCCTGAATGTGGTTCAAGGTTTAAATTTACGATCTAATCGACCAAGCGCCTCGACTTCTCCAGCGGTTCCGACATTATGCTAAGAACCACAAAGAGAATCCCGAGCAATATGAGAAATAAACTCACCCTGGTTCCACCGTTTGTGCGGAGAAATCCGCTACCACACTTTAGCGTTGACTAGTAGCAAGAGATTCTAGTAGATTTCTTGCGCAAATCCAGAATGCTTCCAAGACCTTTCCTAGCGCAAATTTCCGTCTCATGCGCCAACACCGTGCACTTATTTCGAAATTCAACGCCATGTGCTCTCAACCTTATGCCTTCCAAGAGCTGTTGAACGAGTACCGCGCCTCATGCTAGCCAGATGTTCTTTGATACGAATGGCTAGAACCCTTCCTGTTTCTCCAATATAGGTTGCGTTACAAGCCTGCATTCGATTTGATAAATTACTCCCCTATGCGCACAATCTCCTATTTACCGTATGGACAAATAACACAACCGTCTGACACGCACTGCTTATCATAGAGCCTGTTTCGCACCAGTTGCCGTCCGATGTTTTCGTTGGGAATATTAACCAACTGAACATCGTTCTGCAGCTGTGCTCTTCTAATGCTCCGTTGAATCGCAGTGCTCACTCTGTCAGATATAAATGGCGAACATCAGCGTAGTCCCCACTTAGGAAATTTCTGTTCTAGAAAAAGATTTTGGTGTTAGTCGCTGTTCAGATGTCTAGAGAATCACTTAAAGGAAGCGATTACGATAAGGAATTTTCGCATCGGGGGAGAACCTGCGCCACACGGAGCAATTACTTGGCTGCCAAGGAAGCGATGTGTGGCGCTTCCACGGCGAAAGGTGCTGTGGTTGCTGAGCAGGACCTCCGCAGCACTCCGCCCCCAAAGCGTTCCGCCCACAAGTTTACTTGTTGATTTGGACGAGCTGCGTGCCAGCAGCGGCGCAAATGGAGCATCTCGATTAAAGCGTACTTTGGCATGGTGCCATCAAATGCGTTGCGGTGAACTCGTTCATACGTCCACTTTCTTAGCTGTTACCTGTTCATGAGTTGAAACCAACGGCCAAAAAAGAGGGTCCCGTTTTGCGTTTTCTTGACGGATTTTTCTGCTTTTTTCGCTGCTGGCGTACCATTGAGCACCACCACGTCACACTAAACCCTTCTTGAATTTATCGTAACCGCTTACCTTAATTTCGTTGCAAAAAATCCGGTTATCGTCGAGGATGACGATATGTTCTCGTTAAATATAACGAGTTGTGACGAGATCTCTGAAGAGCGACTTTGCTGCTGCTTCGTCAGGTCATGCGTGCCTATTTGTCCAGTTTTCTTACCTTCCCAAGTACCTTAAAAAGCTCCAGAACCTTTGATGTGTTTGTTCCAGGTTGTGCTTTTAACCATAGTACACTTGCTTCAGATTCTTCTTCTATCGGGTGCTCCTCAGAAGGTTGTCCTCAATAGGAGAACGATGCCCGTAACTCCCTCACTTTATAGAGTTTCTACATTGAAAACTTCGGAGCCATTAAAGCAGTGTGTTGTTGGTGAAATCATAGCTCCTCACAACAATCCTATTGAAAGTTGTCTATAGCATTCTCTTCGAGTTATAAACTCATAGGAGTAAACTTTCGCGAATCGCTGCTCCAAGGTCTTCTATTCAAACCATTAAGAGTGCCAGATTAAATGTACCGCGTCGTTTCAAATAGCAATTTAGGATAGGAAATAATATGGGCTTTTCTTACGTCGATATGCACCAAGACAGAAATACAGAAGGTTAATGAAAATTTCCCAGGAAAATGTCTGATAAAGTAGCACATCGAAACCCGCATTACTTTCCGGTCAACTAATACAAGATCATAAAAATCCATTTGAAGGTATACACCATTGGAAGGTGGGACAGCGTACATCAATGAGGGAAAGATGCTCGCGTGTTTCATGCATTCGACATTTTTACCAACCTCTCTCCCCGCCGACCACCTTTTGGAGTTTTGAGGACAGTTTTAGTAACGTCAAGTTCAGCAACACTGTTGGCACCAGAAAGTAGCACAGAAGGAAATGGGTGTGCATAATTCTAACATCGTTTAAATGATATAATTGACTGATAGCCCTAAAGGGTGCTTTGAAAAGCGAAACGTTTTGTCGATCAAAAGAGAAGGTTTAAGATTTCCAACATTGACGCAGCATGCGAGCAGTGACTATTCTCATCTCAGTCCTGATTGGAGCATATGGAGCTAGCTGGTATCCCATCGACAGCAATACCTGCTCTATTTGGAATTCATTACTACAAGGTTGGTTTGATCCTTAAGGGGTTTTTGGGAAGCACCTTGTGATGGTAAATCTCCTTTTTCATGTCATTCTTAAATAATTAACTTCCTGAAAACTTTTGAAGGGTCTTGCTTCGATCGGCATGAAATGTACGGAAAACATATTCTTCTATATTTTTACAGATCTATAATTTTGAAGCATCATTCTATGAAGCTGAGGACCTGTGTGTGGCGGCAGGGCGGACATTTGGCTTCCATTCATAGCCAGGAAGAAAACGATCTCGTCTACTGTAAGCGCAATTTTTACTATACACGCATTACACGATAGCATAAGCAAAGAAATGAGGGTAAAATATCTTGAAATAAAGGGGAGTAGGGGGGAAAATGACCCGCCAATGCGAAAAAAAGAAAAGGAAAGTCAATTATAATTGGAAAAGAGGCTTTTGGTGGCGGAGAGTGCGTAAAGGAGAAGAAAGGTTAAGGACAGCTTGGTTATTTGAGTTACGAAACGAGAAAACAGAAGAGAAGACCAACACGCAGAAACACTAGACCATTTCATTCGCGGAAGCGATTGCTCCAATGGAATAATTCTTTAGGTTCCGCAAAACAGTAGCCGCGATATCAGTGTACTCCAGCTGGAATTCCCAAAAAAAGTCCAGCCGTGTTTAGATCCAGACACCTTCAATTGAAATAGGAAGATGTGCTCCACAAGTGGTTTATACACAGGGTCAACCCTGCGTTGCGCAAATTCCAAAATTTTTACGACCCCCTTCCTTTTCGGGTGTCGGTACGACCCCCCCCCGTATTAACTATATGTCTTTCACATAATTTAATGCTCATCATTGATGTGTGGGCAGTCACCAACATGGAGAAGTGGTGGACCGTGGTCAATCCGCGCGCTTTGTCTCGCTCAGAGGAGGGAATCGAGGCAACATGAAGTTTTATTCATTAAATAGAAGGAATTTCCAAATTTTTGCGTAAACCAATACATGATTTAATCATAGAGATTTCTACATTCAGAAACTTATCGAGTTCACAAGAACAGAAGGAGCCGTTCAAGACTATATAAACGACTATGCATTATGACTAAAGTAAAAATGGAAGTTTAGACCACTTTCAAAAATGCAATTCTAGATATTTGATAACTGACCCGAAGATCAGATTGAGTCGAGCACCTTGCGAAAAGGAATAGATGTGATTCAAATTGCACTTATCCAGGATTCCTTTCCGAATATTCCGGATACCTTTCCGAATAAGAGAAGCTAATTGAGCAATACATATAGAATCTTCCTTGAGGATTTTCTTGAGAGCTGATTACAAACCCAACGTCAAAAATGCGATCGACCGAAAACTGTCGAACCGAACAATATTTCAGACACAAATTTTGTTTTTAAAGCCATTTTAACGGCTTAAGCTAGATGTCGTGAGTTTTTGTTACACGCGTCTACTGGTTTGCATTTATGTTGAACTCCCGCTGCTTCATGCTACGTTTGATGCATTCCATTGAATGTTGTAACTTTCACTAGCCTGTTGTGGCTTTCACCAAGCCCGTGAGAGAATTTGAATGAATGGGTAATGGTCATCAGGTTCGATTGGTACATTTTCAAGTTTTCTGCTTCCAGGGCTGATGACCAACAACGAGCCAACAATAAAAGAGTCTGATCAAGCGTGGATAGGTCTGAGAAGGAAGCTGCTTCTGTGGAATCACCTCGCGGAAGACCAAAAACGAAGCTACAGTGCGTGGACCTGGACGGATGGCTCTCCAGTTGACTATTTCGAGTGGGAACCCGCTCAGCCAGACAACTTTGCAAAGAGCGAATCATGCGTACAGGTTCTTATTTCTTAATATGACAAAAAAGACATTTAAGACTCCAATTACTCACTGTATGAAAATTACAATATTTCGCCAAATACCCTCTTCAAGGCTATAACTACGATGATTATCATAATCCAAGAAATTTTCTTCGCTAACTGAACTTGGTGAACGGAAGGATCGAGCAAACAGTGCAAAGGGTGATGGCGTGTCGTTGTGAAAGACGCCTCAGAAATGACGTGTTCACACTTTAGGCTGAAATTACTTCCCGTGAATGACTCCCTTTTCAGCAGCAGCTATTGACGCTTGCGATACTGTCATCGCCATTTTTTTGAGGAGTGGAATTCGTTCTAAATATAGCACAGTGGCACCATCTTCTAGTACTTGTGTCGTGTGGTGTCCTCATGAACATTTTAAGCCTTTCAGATATCGGTTTTATTCGCTAGAACGTCTGCACATTCCATTTGAAGGTGCCTCTCTTTCTTCCAAAATGGAGGAGATAGAGCTATACTCAAAAGGTTATGCCTATGACCCTAATCATCTAGTGAGTTAAATTGTTTCAATGGTTTCCGGAGCTGTTACTGACTCTCTGATTTCTCAAGCAACGTCAGCTCAAGCGGTCTGCCACCTCCAACTCGCACTGATCCGAATTGTTGTTGAACGAGTCTTTCGATGTCTCGTGAGCTACAGCTTTTTCCTACAACAGGATTTCCTAAAGTTGACTGAATAAGACTCGCTGGAATTCTCGTTGATGTATGCAATTGCAAATGTAGCTTACTCTTGGGATGCCCTGAAAATACCCCTCAGATCCTATCCATTTGCTTGCATGGAAACTCTATTCCACCCTCTCAAGAGCTCCTCCTTTCTGTCAAGCAGAAATGGTTGACAGGTAAAGGATAGCATCTTCGCACAACTTGAGGTCGCTGTGCGGAATTACGAAGTCTTCCATAATATAACAGTCCTTGTAAGCAAGCAAACATCAAATGTGTCCATGGCAAGTTATCGACGTTTTCAACGCTAACATCAGGAACGCTTTGTCGTTGTCGTTAGGGTCGAAAGTACAGAATACAGTGGTAGAATGCTCCCCACAACTTTACTCAGCTTTTCTTTAGTGTTACTCATTCATTTGTTTCAGCAGTTCGTTTTCAGAAGCACTACAAGCACGGAACTTGGAATGATATAAACTGCAACGAGAAAATGAAGAGCTTCGTTTGCAAGTTCAGGGACTTCCCTTGAGAAACGAGACCCAGGCATGGCTTGTATCGTTTGAAAATGAAGGTTAATTCTGCTTTCGTTTCATCTCATTGAAATGGAGACAATGAAAGGCGACAAGGTCCCCTAATCACCCAAATCTATCCATTTAGACGCCTTATGACTTTGTTTCGCAGGAAGAATCATATTTGACTTCATAACTAAGAAAACATTAATCACATTTTGAAAAGTGCTAATAAACATTATGGATGTCAGTCCTAAGTACATTATACGAAGTTATACGATTGACATCGGATCATGTGAGCTCTTGTGGGCCGCGGCTAATGGCTGCTGGGCAAGGATGACCAGATATCTATGGTAAACTACAAATCGGGTAAATGATCACCTAATCACATGCGGCGCATAAATTCTTTAACTAGCACCGTCTAAATGGACTGGTAATGGCTTCAAGCGAAATACTCCGGTGCTCGTAGGAAACACCGAGGGCAAACCGAACCACCAAGGAGATAGTGTCCAATGAGAGAGAAGATGAATTGTCTTGGCCGTACAACTCGTTCCTCGACTTTAGTCGATAGAGAGCAAAGCGCTCTAATACCAAAGGCCAGTGAATCAACTCGGAACCTTTCCTCATAGTCTCTTAGTCTGGTGAAATTGAAGGGAGTCAACCGCTCAGTTTCAACGCACGGAGTAAATGGAAGATAATGAAATGGGTGACGAGCAAAAATATTACAAATATCGATGAAAGTACAACAATGCGTGAGATAGGAACACGACACCCAACCTTTTTTATGTAAATCGAGCATCATAATACAGCACGAGGCACGAAATCTAGAAACGAAAGGAAACAACATGCATTGAAACAACCAACCAAGAAACCATGTTGACGGTAAGCATACAGGGTGGTCCAAAATTATGAGGACCGCGTGCGCGCGCAGTCATATCCACTTTTTTCCGTATCGCTCCATTTTCATCTCGTTTTCTGTGCACTATGTGAAAGGGTACAATGTCTTCTTCCTAATGAAACCAAATTTCATGAAGTTCTCAAAACTAGTGAAATAACTACTTCACTTTGAGTCAGTCCTCAAATTGAACTCACTAGGGGCTCTGGCACGTTACATCTAGCAGCAGTCTAACCTATCAGAGAAGCCCTTATGAGCAACAGTTCAACTCTTCAATAAGTTTGGAACCACCACAGATGGAAAATTCGGGGACTCGAAAGTTACAGTTACCACCAGGATAATTATCAGATGCAGAAACTAGGTCTCCCCTTGTCGACTTTCGTACACCCAAAATGAAAAAATTGATGTGAAAACCCAGCCAGACACTCTAAAGACTCCACATCTGTAGTGGATAGAAAGCCACACGAGTAGTCTACTTGGGAACTTCTTACAGGACCGAGCACCCAAGAATAAAGCAAAAATCCTCCAAAAAGCGATTTTTCGAGTTCGTTGCTTTCGAAGAATTGTTACAATGGAACCATCCACCTAATAGCTCTAGATTTCTGTATTTCACACCCTGGATGCAAGCGCAAATAAATGCAACACAAAAGTTTGATTCCCTGAAGAAGGCAGAGCAGAAGGCCTGGAAACATTTGGACACGCCTCAGTTGCGTGCCACCGCACGCGCCATCCCCCTCATCCGAAGGCTCGTGTTAAACGGGGCAAGTGGCAGATCTCAATTCTATTCTGGAATTACTTTGAGGTAAGAGTTACAAATACTTCCCAGAAGTTGGTTTGTTCCATCAAGCTACTATGCGTTTTTAACGACACAATGTCTTGGTCCTCATAATTTTGGACCACCCTGTACATGACAACGGTTTTCGTATGAAAGTTCACACCGAGATGTGAAAGGCTCAAGCTACCTTCTGTAGTAAATCTTGCTGATAATGGTATGGCTACTCCTTGAAAGCTCTTTCAGTGTGATTAGTGCTACGGAGTCAGCTGTTGGTACATGTGAGAACTGTTTAGTGGCTTGCTCTCTCTGTCCTCGAGAACTGCCCTATGGACATGGAAAACAGTACGAAACGAACATCAGCGAAATTCGAAAAGTAGTGCATATTTGACATCACCATTCATGGTTTCATAGCTGCGGTGACCATGGTAGAGCGTGCATTCAGGAAACCTCAATGAGGGGGTTGTATTAAATTCAGTAAGAGTGGATCTTTGAAATAAAGATTTCCGGGCAACAAGATCTTCTGAGATCCACGTCCAGGGCAGAAGGTGAACACCTCTTGAGTGCAGGAAAAGCGATTTTGATTTTTTTCAAAAAAAAAGAGTTCGGCAAGAATATAATTGGTTTGAAGGAACCGGATATTTATCGTACCCAATAAGTGAGCTGCTCGAATATCAATGCATGCACTGCCAAAGTAAATATCTTGCCCTGTACATTTCTTCAATGGCCGTCTGTACACAAGGGCGCATTTCGAAGTTTTCCTCAACGCCTTCTTGACCGGTCAATAATCGCCGAAAGACCATTGAGGATTTGAAATTATGATAGCGCTGGAAACCCCTCCCCGCGAATTTGGATGCTCACAGGAAAAGTAGTGGTAGAAATGAAATAGAAGTACACCCAGCCTATTCTGCAGTTCTCGCACGAGGTGATTACGTCAAAAATGGATTGCTGAAGGAGTGGCTTGAAAGGCTCCTCCGGCTGCGGAACCCAATTTTTGTTCAGAAGATAGGGAACGGTGGCAGTATTCAATACTAAACACCTTGAATAGTGAAACATGTCTTACTTTGCTGAAGCAAGTGTTCGCGAGACGTAGGAACAGTAACTTCCAACTTTCGAGTACAACGCCTTATGTTGATGTCCTGAGAGGAAGTCACCTATCACATCATTCAAAAGCATGTGACCGAAACCTGTGTGAAAAGGAGGTCAACGGCGAAATGGAGATATATGGACATGCTCTTTGAT